TTACCAGGTTACCAGGATACCAGGTTACCAGGTTACCAGGTGACCAGGTTACCAGGTGACCAGGTAACCAGGTTACCAGGTTACCAGGTTACCAGGTTACCAGGTTACCAGGTAACTAGGTTATCACGTGACCTGCATGTTTTACAGACCCCCAATATTGTCATGTAAACTTGTTGATGAGTAGAGAAGGAATACAGAAGCTGTGATCAGGTGATTGTCTTCGTAAACCTGGTCACCCCACACGAGTTTATTATTGTGTTTTCAGCCAATCAGAGCTCGAGAAAACACGTTTCATCCAATGAGTTGTCTAGTTAGAAGGTGGAAACGTTTTCTAGCTGGCGGGAGGTCGTGATCGGGAGCTGTAATTTATTTACAGGATTCACACAGAATGTGTGGAGACTTGTGTGTTTGAACAGGTTAACCCCTGTTTACCTGTACTATAAGCAGGGACAGAAAGTAGCTGATATTGATAAGGGGGGTTTTGGTATGTTGCCAGAGTATTTGTGTTCTGTAAATGGATTTCTAGTGGCTTTTTGATGCTTCATCTGGTTTTCAAGGTTAGTTGTGGAAGTAAAAGTTCTGTTGTCGAATTTATAGACCTCTGTCTACTATTCTATCAGTATTTCGTATCTCAAATAACGGAGTAGTTCGCTGTTTATTAGTCTCATGATTGAAATACTGATATCTGGATATTATCCGGTTGGAAGAGACAAGGACAAGTGAAACAAGGAAGTTAGGAGTAAGGGCAAATAGTTTAAAACTATTTTTCACAACTACAATTAAATACATTTATTGAGCCTGAAGATGGCGTTGACGCCGAAAATTTGCCCTTACTCCTAACTTCCTTGTTTCACTTGTCCTTGTCTCTTCCAACCGGATAATATCCAGATATCAGTATTTCGTATCTCTTTGACGGAAATTGCTACAATTAGGGGTAAAATTGGGCTACACTTTACAGTGCTAGATATAATTGTCGTTCCTTAGCAACCACCGGTATATATAAGGATAATGCACTAAATGGAAATCTACAGTTCCTGACTGTAGTGTTTATTTTGTTTTATTTTGGATTTCTGAGTTTAAATGTCTTTCTATGGTCACATATCTGGTAAAATGTAAAACAGGATGCAGACCAGCTGTGTAATTATGGCACGGTTGTTTTAGTTTACGTGCTAGTTTACTGGTACATCTTGTTAATTGAGATCATAAACATCATTTACATGTTTAACAAATCGCCCTGTTTGTATTTAGTATAATATAATGTTGGACAGATATAAAACACTAACTGTATTTTTGTTTAATAAACAAGGCGTAATAAAATATCGTCCCAAATATATAAAATTTGTTAGGTGTGTTTAGGTGATAGCACAGTACGCCAAATTAAATTCAGTTCCTGAAATGCAGACAACGCTTTGAAATGAATTCCGATCAATTCCCCACGTACTGGATCAGTCATCACTAAAGCTCTAAAAGTAAGATTAACATTACGGCACCTCAGGCTCAAGATCACGAGATAAAATTGTTGCATCCTAGAAATTGGCCTAATGAGTTCTCATCATCTTTGTGGCTGTGAGCGTGTCGGCCGGCTCGTACGGCGGAGTTTGCTTCTGGGTTTGCTTGCGGAGGTTGTGATTGAAGTATTTCAAGTATGCTGTGATCTGTACTTTCTCGCTTGAATTAATGTTGTAAGTCAACTTTTGGGACCATACCTCAAAGTTGAGTACATTTTACGGTTTTATTGAATTCGTTATTTGCTCTGTCCTTACTTTATAATATGTAGTAATTAGTATCGCATAATAGGTAGTAATTAGTATCGCATAAATATAGAAGCATTATACTAGTACTACCACATGTTATCAAACATGAAAAGTAAACATGTCTACACAATCTACTATACAATCAGGAATTACTAATTCGCTCGACCAAAAATTATCACGTGACGTTGGTTTTTATGATTTTGCAGCCGAACAAAACAGTTTTAGTTTTAAATTTACGTAAACCGTAACCGTAACCCTAACCCTAACCCTAACCCTAACCCTAACCCTAACCCTAACCCTAACCCTAACCCTAACCCTAACCCTAACCCTAACCCTAACCCTAACCCTAACCCTAACCCTAACCCTAACCCTAACCCTAACCCTAACCCTAACCCTAACCCTAACCCTAACCCTAACCCTAACCCTAACCCTAACCCTAACCCTAACCCTAACCCTAACCCGAGCCCTAGCCCTAGCCCTAATCAATTAAATTCTTGTTTTACTAGCTTGTCACGTTACCAAAACGGTTTTTTTGCCCGTAACTCTCCAGGGAAGTATTTTACCCTACGTCATGGGGGGTGATTCGGAATCAGCTTCCAAGAATACACCGATTCAGATGAGTTTCATACCCTCAGGGCCTTTTCACAAAAATGTTCTTAAAATTTGGGCGAGCGATTTTAGTGGGAGTTACAAAGATAAATCGTCTAATTAGAGAGATCTTGTCTAACTCTAATTGGGTGTGATCCAATAAAGACTTAACAAAATATATAAATAGCTAAATGCCTATTGCTGGATGCTAATATAGCTAAACGCCTATAGCTGAATGCTAATAGCTAAATGCCTATTGCTGAATGCTAATAGCTAAATGCCTATAGCTGAATGCTAATATAGCTAAATGCCTATAGCTGAATGCTAATAGCTAAAAACGTCAGAGATTATTTGAAATTGTCGGGTTATATCTCCCACTCAAAGACCGCGTTAACATTATGATGTCATGAGTTTCACAGTACACTTCATACCTGTGTCGTGTTTTCCTCAAAAACTCACGCAAATCTGACACATGTGCCACCGGATACATTTCTGACATTCGCTTTAAGACTGCTTCCAGATGCTCGAAAGGATTTCTGGTAAGCAGAGTTTTTAACAATTTCTTCAATCCCAGTTTAATACTTCACTATAACTTGATTAGTTCATAGCTACCTGTGCAGATGCTGATAGCGTTTGAGTTAAAAACTGCGTCATATTTCAAAACAATATTTTTATTTTTCTGCGCTATTACGAGCATTCTGCTTAAGATAAATCGGTTAGAAGTGAGAAACAATTTCAACTTGCTTCCCAGTTCCCAGCTGTCAGTGTCACGTGTCATTTATACTCTTACCTCGGACCTGCAAATTCTTTGACAGTAAAAAGCCACCGTATTCTCCATTTAAAAAGTGCTGGAGCTTATTCAATGTTCCTGCTTACTAACATTTGTTGTTGTTATCGGAGTAAACAAAGGGCACGATCTCTTTTTAAGAAGCGGAGCATGGGAACGTGTACTTGTAAGTTTAGTTCTATTGTTTTTCTTCGTGATATTTAAAATTTGTCGATTTATTGTTGTTAGTACTTTTTTATCGTTTATTTTTGATATCATAACCGAGCCGATTGGGATCATTTTCGTTAAAATTTGCTTGAATATCGGTACTAGCCATCAATATTAATATAACTAAACTAAAACCTGAAACTGTCGCCTACAATTTCAGGGTAATATTTTATACAGCTGAATCATAAAACACAACTCTTGATCTACAAGTCTGTAGTTTGACGTATAAAACTAGATGTGCTTAGTGCTATTTCACCCACCGCACTTAAAGCTCGTTAAGTGAGTTAGCTGAACATGCTCCACAGCAGTACTTTGAGAATTATGAGTATTGTTTTACAGTAAGTGCGTCATCGTGCAGCTCTGTTCACTCTAGTTTGGTATATTTAGCTTCCTTATAGTTACGGTTTGTTATGTTTCACGGATTTCAGAATGTCCCTGTTTTCGTTTGGTTGAGCCCTTTCAGACGGGGGATGATGGGGTGACGAGGTGATTATATATGATAGAGTGTTTTTAATGATTGAGGATGGAGTGAAGAAAGTGAAAAAGATTTGTAATGTTTACAGTACTATATAATTATTGAAACTAAAAAATTAGGCTTCTGATGTAGATGAGAAGGAAATACCTCTCAGACATCAGAGGGCTGGCTGTTGATTTACTCATGATAGACGAGATAGACAATTATCGTTTTAAACCTTCAAAAGGACGTGTCCTAAGTGTTAAAGATTCTACAAGTTCGCTTTGTTGTTATTCCTCGTGGGCCACTAAATATACATGATCCTTTAATAGAACCTAACTATTTAGTGGGTCCCAGAAGAGACAGCCAAATAACAAAGGATTTACCAGACATCTGCTGTAATTTCTGACTGATCGTTTTGTAGAATGACAGCTGGTGGCTGGCAAGCGCCCAACTGAACAGTACGTGTTGAACATGACCCCCCAGAACGGATCACTGTTTTTGTTAATTTGACACGGTAATTCTTGTAATTGAGTTTATCGGGGCCACACCATTATCGTCATCAGGTGATCAGATCCGATAACGCTCAGTAAACAATATTTACTTTCAATTTGGATTTCAATTTTTGAATTATTTATATTTCTCCGAGAATTTTTTGTTCTGAAGAAAAGCTATCAGGATATCACACCATATTTCAACCACAAGAAGGGCAATATGAGAACGTGCTTTTAATTTATCTGCCACCCTACCCCCACCATCTGGCAGCTATTTTATGTCATGCACCTGCTATCCTGTTGCCATGGTGACTAAGTTGTTTTGATTCCCGCTACTATTATGTAAGTTGCTATGCTATTTCAGATAAGTGGCCTCTAGCTCGAGAAGACATGTTTTAGTTTATTCTATTTCTTTACCACGGACCGTTTGTTTGAAGTACTAATCGTACCCAAGACCTCCAACTTCAAGCAAGGTTGCCCGTTAACATTCCCATTTCCAGTCTTTGTTTCGCAGTTTAACTAAAACTGATAACCTGGAGACTGGTGACTAATTGACGATTAGTCTCAATTAGTAATTGTGTTGTTGTGGGAGCTTTAAGTGGATAACGTTTATAATTTATGCTTCCTTTACATATAAAAGCGCTACTTAACTTCCCGTGGTCTGACTTCTTTATGCTAGTAATACTCATAGTATTTAAAAATACTTTAATATTTGTTCAGTTTACTAACATGGCAGCTGTGAAGAGTCCGATGGTGGATCAAGATGGAACTTTTGGTCGGTTGCACAGAGGTATGTTTATAGTTTGAGTAATTACCTTGTGTATTTAATCAGTATAATTGCATGGTCATTTAATGAAGCAATGGATGTACAGTTTTATTTTCAATGAACAGAAATCTTTTTTGATACTAGGTTTGAGATCGTTCATCTTAGTATAAGCTGATTTCCAATCTTTACGTTCACTGTTCATTCTCAAAATAAATCCATATACATCATATTATCATCCAAGCTTTACCAAAATCATGAAATGAGAATCCAAAACTTACAACTTAACAATCTTGTCCAGTGGGTAAACTAGAGTTTCATAAATAAATTAAATAAATGAATAAAATCCAAACATCATCATTCCGTTAAGAAGAAGTATCCGTCGTCCACATCTCTAACCCTCCATAAAGATATCCTCATGTCTTCACGCCGTACAGGACTGAAGTCAAACGAAGAGGTTGACTGGAAAGAGAGGGATCCCAAACCTATACCTGTCACAGTGCGACGACAGAGCTCGACTTTCAAGCGGTTCGCACTTGCCAACGTGAGAATAATATAATTCATATTTATAATAGTAACTAGTTAGTTATGTGAGATTATAATTCATATTAGTATTGTTGTAGAACTACAGGGTGAGTTGAAAATAGTGTGTGGAATGTAAAGATCGATAATATTTTTTATGAAGGAGCAAATTTTGAAAGGTGTATTGCTATCAGATCATAAACGTTACACATTTCATTGTTACATCTCATTCGATTCTAACTCATAATTTGGATTATTTTTGGCAGTTTTCCAAAAATTCGTAAATTCGTCCTAATGGGGTTCTCAAATCGCGTGCCCTGAAAATCGAGTCTAAAAATATATCTTCTCCTACATTTTTTGAGCAATCACCCTGAAACTTTCAGGATATGTTTTAGGGATCATTTAGAAGAGATGAGCCAGACAGAATTTTGAGATAAGCCTTTAATGATTTTTTATTTGATTTTGAAAATCGTGGACCTCGAAAAACCATCAAAAAACGAGGTCCAAGATTTTAAAAATCGAATAAAAAATGTTTAAAGGCCTATCTCAAAATTCTGTCAGGCTCATCTCTTCTAAATGATCCCTAAAACATATTCTAAAAGTTTCAGGGTGATTGCTCAAAAAATGTAGGAGAAGATAGATTTTTAGACTCGATTTTCAGGGCACGCGATCAAAAATCGCTCGCGCAATACAATTACCACACACGCGCTGACCTTTGACCGGCAATAATTTCGGCTAGAACGATATTTTTCCACGGGATCAAAAGCATCTGACAGATATTACTCCCCTCTATCAGAAACAACTAAAAAGTCGATTTTGATAACATTTCCATGAAGACCCCCCTCTGCCCCCTTGATATAGTCAAGTCGGCTATAGACAATTGTCTTACACGTTATCAACATGTCCTAGCTAATAAAGGGCGATGGGTTGAGCAAATTATTAATTATTCAGCATTTTTATTGTATTATTATAAAATGTATATATTTTCATTACCTAAATATCCAAAAATTAAGTGGAAAAGTCATTTGTCAAAAAAATTAGAGCCATTTACATTCCACACACTATTTTCAACTCACCCTGTAGATAGCATGGTATGCCCCCCCCCCCCCCCCCAAATAAACCTCTAACTATTTACCGGTTGTAAACGTAACAATAGTAATTTAATTAAATTAATTAACATACTTACAGCAGTTGCAAGAAAGCGATGTAAAGACATCTGTCTCCCTGGCACCCAGCAAGGTACTGGACACTGACACGGGTCTGCAGCTCTCCATGAAAGCTAACAGTATACTTGGGGGCAGCACCTGGACTCAGAACCTTGAGAAGGAGTTCGTGAAACTGGACGCAAAATCATCAAACGGTTGGTACCAGCCTTATTGATCAATTTCAGGACTTAACTTAGATTGTGCTATGTACGAATTGATACGTTGTTAGGATATCGTTTTAAATGTTAGGCAGGGAATACGCTCAATATGATATCAGAACTATTATATGTTTAACCCATTTACCCAATCCCTGCTTTCCCAATCCCGGTTCATTAAAGACTAAAATCTTTATAACTCCAGTGCAGTGTTCATGTAGTGTAGTAGTTTGATCACATTATATGTCCCCTCTCTATGTCGCGTTGACTTAACACGTGGTACCCCTACTTGACACGTGGTACCCCTACTTAACACGTGGTACCCCTACTTAACACGTGGTACCCCTACTTAACACGTGGTACCCCTACTTGACACGTGGTACCCCTACTTGACACGTGGTACCCCTACTTGACACGTGGTACCCCTACTTGACACGTGGTACCCCTACTTGACACGTGGTACCCCTACTTGACACGTGGTACCCCTACTTGACACGTGGTACCCATACTTGACACGTGGTACCCCTACTTGACACGTGGTACCCCTACTTGACACGTGGTACCCCTACTTGACACGTGGTACCCCTACTTGACACGTGGTACCCCTACTTGACACGTGGTACCCCTACTTGACACGTGGTACCCCTACTTGACACGTGGTACCCTTACTTGACACGTGGTACCCCTACTTGACACGTGGTACCCCTACTTGACACGTGGTACCCCTACTTGACACGTGGTACCCCTACTTCTAGGGAAACAACGGACAACCAAACACCACATATCAGATAACCACATACAGCCACTTTACTAAATACATTTGTAGCTATAAAGTGGATTAGTATAATTACCACAGGCTAGCTGATTCAGAGCAGTGACCTTCTCCTCTTGAATTTGACCTCCCTCTACTGCTCTGTCATGCCTTGAAACTCGAGTAACTACAATACCATGCCAAAATTTGATCTCATAATGGTTAACGTTGTTACCATGGACCGATTTTTCGCTGTAATCGTATTTTTGTCCTGAGATTGTTGCAGCGGCGAGGGCTAAGTTTCAAAAGATTTATTACAATTGTATCCTTTGTTCATAAGTTGTACTTCCAGTTTACTGTTGTTGGGATTTGATCCCGCTGAGAATTTTCATGGCAAGTGTACTGCTGGGAATAAATGGTGAGACCTATTTTTAGTATTTATCAGATCAGTCCAAGTTACTGGTTTCAGTAAATGTAGGATTAAATTTCAACTGCCCGATAAAAATGTTAGAGTTGGCCGGAATTTTCAGTGAATGATACTTGTGAAGGTGGCAGGCTGGCACTGCAAGTGTGACTAATCTTCACGTGCTCACGTGTATCCATCGCTCAATTATAACGAGATATTTCCATGTCCTTGAATTATCTGAAACGAATCTTCGCATTTACATACCCTCCTGAAGGTCCCTAATTTTTGGGGAAGTAATAGAGTTTCTGTTGGATAAAACAGCCATGGAAACCATATTAAATGGAATTGACTCACACAGATGGCATCGATACCGTGATGCCCTCATAGTTATAAGATTCTGCTGACAGTTTAACTATCACTGCGGTCATTTTGAGAGATATGAATAAATTTAACATAATCTCGATAGAGCAGATAGTATTAGTGCTCGGAGTCAATCTATAAATATACACTGTATTATATAATAACGCACTGTATATACATACATTATATACACTGTATTATATAATAACGCACTGTATATACATACATTATATACACTGTATTATATAATTACGCACTGTATATACATTATATACACTGTATTATATAATAACGCACTGTATATACATACATTATATACACTGTATTATATAATTACGCACTGTATATACATACATTATATACACTGTATTATATAATTACGCACTGTATATACATTATATACACTGTATTATATAATAACGCACTGTATATACATTATATACAGTGTATTATATAATAACGCACTTTGATATCCTTGATTCGGGTGGAAGGTAGAATTGTACGGCATTATCACGGAGTACTGAACATTTCCTTGTGTTTTAGAATTTACACATCTCAAAGTCATTACACAATACACAAACTTATAACCATATTCTCAGTTACAGCAGGAGAAGAGGAAGGAGCCCCAACAGTTTTGAGCGGGTCTGAAGAACCAAGAGAACAATCGGTGTTCCACCTGACTGAAACGGAGAAATACATCCTGAAACAAATCATGAACATGACCCATGATAGGGCGGGTCTTCAGGTGTGACATCTTAATTTAGTCATTGAGGATTACCTAATTATCTCTGATGGTAGACTTATTTTTTAAAACTGGTTTCTTTAAAACTGGTTTCTTTAGACTTAATTATAAGTTACAAATCTTCCCGGTTCTGAATATGTCACGTGACCACCCTCCCTCACTCCAGGCCCACCGAAAGCTGGCAGAAACCCACTGTAACACTGTAACACTGTAACACTATAACACTGTAACACTGTAACACTGTAACACTGTAACACTGTAACACTGTAACACTGTAACACTGTAACACTGTAACACTGTAACACTGTAACACTGTAACACTGTAACACTGTAACACTGTAACACTGTAACACTGTAACACTGTAACACTGTAACACTGTAACACTGTAACACTGTAACACTGTAACACTGTAACACTGTAACACTGTAACACTGTAACACTGTAACACTGTAACACTGTAACACTGTAACACTGTAACACTGTAACACTGTAACACTGTAACACTGTAACACTGTAACACTGTAACACTGTAACACTGTAACACTGTAACACTGTAACACTGTAACACTGTAACACTGTAACACTGTAACACTGTAACACTGTAACACTGTAACACTGTAACACTGTAACACTGTAACACTGTAACACTGTAACACTGTAACACTGTAACACTGTAACACTGTAACACTGTAACACTGTAACACTGTAACACTGTAACACTGTAACACTGTTACACTGTAACACTGTAACACTGTAACACTGTAACACTGTAACACTGTAACTCCAGGCCCACCGAAAGCTGGCAGAAACCCATTTAGTCAGAGTGCAGACCCACATGGAAGAGGCGCAGCCGAGTGAGATTGCGCAGGGAGGCTACATACATCTTCCTGATAGAACTAAGATGAAGAGACATTACATGAAGAAACTTGGTTTGTGTACAACTTCCTCCTGTTTTATTCAGTCTGGAAAAATAAATATGATTTTTTAATCGGTCTGGAAAACTCATTATGATTTTTTGACCAGTCTTGAAAACTATTGACAACAGACTACTTGTGGGGGTATGACATCACTCCCGAGTCCCGCCAGTCAGGTCATGTTCATTGTCAAGCAGCTGTTTTGTGTATAATTGATGATGTTATCAGGGAGGAAAGCTACAAAGACGGAAGTGCAGGTCCCTAAAGAATGCTGTACCATGTTGGGAAACGTTGCGAAGTACGATCCAGCTCGCCGGAGACACGATTTAAAGTTAGTACACTTGTGACGATTCATGACGTCACTGTTGTTGTGATGACGTCACTTTTGTTGTGATGACGTCACTGTTGTTGTGATGAAGTCACTGTTTTTGTGATGACGTCGCGTCATGCTGGGTTATTTTTTGACATCATTCATTTAATTTAGAATGCATATCATTTACTATTCACAAGCAATGTAATATAGTTGCTTCAATGTATTAAGTATTCATTGATTTTGAGGTATTGAATATAACATGACAAAGTTGTCAATTATTAAAGTTTACCTCTAAAATTAAATATTAGGCGGCGTTTCTGAATAATAATTTATTAATTTTATTTTTATTTATTTATTCTGTTTTTGTTGCTTAATTAAAGTAACACCCTCACTCCTCAGGAATACGATAATTCCCCTGATCCCTGGCTCACTTCCTAACCCAGAGTTCAGATTTCGCCACGTGTTTGTTGTCGACATGGCCTATATGGAGAAAAACAAGGTCAGCTGATTGATAGCTTTACTTTTACTTTCTAACCTGATCAGTATGAAATTGTCAGCACGCTGTTGTGATGACGTCACTGTTGTTGTGATGACGTCACGCTGGGTTACATTCAACAGAATCTGATGTAAATATCTACACACCAGGTAGACCTGACAAACGACAGAGTGCCAGTGTTCTCCGCAGCTCATCCTGGTGACAAATATCTTTTCTCTAAAGAGGTACCATTTTCACTTTTGTTATTCCATCTTCTTTCAAGGTTTCCTTTACTTTATGTTGCTTTTTATATTTAATGTTGTTTCCTTTACTTAATGTTGTTTCCTTTACTTAATGTTGTTCTTCCTTCTTCATACATGAAGAATAAAGGTTTCCTTGTCACCGATTAAGATGGATTTTGTTTTCAGATTTCAGAAGAAATCAAGGCTAGGAGTAAAAGATTACTTGCTGCTATCAGGATTGCGTTCAATAATAGATTGTACTGGAAAGATGTATTAAAGGTAAGAATTTTATTTTTTGTCTTTTAAGACCTTTAAGTGTTAACTTCACAGAAACACTATCCAAAAGAATGCTCACAATTTGAGGATAACTCAACTTAGAAACCTAGTCAAGGAAGACATAACAATAGAGTTCAGTCCTGATCCTTGGTTTGTTATGTAATCTATATATACTCTATTATATAGCATTACGTATCAATTTAAAATTCCATCGAGAAAAAAGCATTGGTTATCTCTGCTTCATATCAGTTAACCACTGCATCAACAGCATTTTAAAAGTTTAAAGGACAAAGACAGGGGCGTATTACCAGATGGAGCTTCAATTAAAATGCTCAAGAGCGATTGACACGTGCTTCTCATTAACACGTGCTTCTCATACCTATAATTGTACAGGAACACAAGTCTTCAGTCTAGAGTATACTGGTGGGGCATGTTCTAAGATAAACAATAGAAATGCGACTCGGGAGTCCCGACTCTGGTCAGCTCCGCTCTTTTGTTTTATTCTAAGACTGAAGACACGTTCGAAATTTTATATGTGCATTACTGATATCATGTGCTCCACTGGAAATTTACTTTTTCATTATAGTTAACATTTGTTCTTCTGCTAACCATCATAACTTATTTTGACCCTGACAGTTTACAGACGACCCCAATGAAATTAATACAATTCTTCTTACTATTGGCGGGCTTTCTGCCCATTGCCCGTACCTTTGGACGAAGAAACAAAGAAACACTGGATGAAGCACGAGGTTACAAAGAGTGTGAAGAATTCAGGAACACCAAGAACCTCAATCTAAAATCTCTGGACTCAATCTGTGATAACAGTGCTAAATGCGCACACATGGAGGCTATAGAGGAGGAATCGTGTGGGTTTGGAGTGAGAAGGTACGCTGCTGGTAAGTGGATCCGGACAAAGGTACGCCGCAGTGATGGACCTAATAAGATGTACGAAGCTGCCTTTTGGCGTCTTTACAAGTACATTGGAGGTTCTAACAGCGGGCAAACTAAAATCCCCATGACGGTTCCTGTGATCACTAACACTTATCTGAGTGAAAATTTCACTGAGGAGGGAGCAACAATGCTATTGCGCCTACCAGCTGCTTTCCAGGAGGAGCCTCCAGAACCAAAGGATAAGCTAGTTTTCATCCAGGACTGCCCTGATGATAAGATCCTTTACTTCAGAGTCCTGGGAAAAGAAGCAAAAAACACGGATCTCTGGAAAGTAGAATTTGAAAAGCTTGCCACAGCTTTGGACAACGCTGGCAAGAAGTTCTGGCCCTATTTAGCAGTGGCAGGAGGCTACACTCTCCCTGGAATCGGGGCCCAACGATCTGAAGTGATGTTTGGAGCGATTGAGCACGAGGAAGGATCTGCAGGGGGGGACTGTTTTCTTGGAAAAACGAGGCTGGTAAACGAATACCAGTTCCAGATGGAAATGAATTATCTTCATTGCATTGAGATATATTGTTTACACTTGATTTAAAATGTTGTAAAACCTGTTTTAATTGTCATTGGTTGTGTTGAGATGTTGAAAGTCTACTCCTACCTGTCACCTACTCGGCTACTTCGCATTAACTTAGTCGCAAAACGTCAAAATTAGCAATCGGTTAAATCTGAGAAATTGAGTAAATCTAAATCTGTCGACGAATTCGAATTTTATTTATTGGATTTTAGATACCTTTTTTTTAATGTAGTGCTGATTGGCTTCATACTAGCCACATCACAATTTAACTTTAAGGGCAAGCCAAAAAATTCAGCGACATCACAATTTAACTTTACGGCCAAGCCAAAAAAGTCAGCGACAACACAATTTAACTTTATATATTTAAGGGCAAGCCAAAAAAGTCAGCGACATCACAATTTAACTTTAAGGGCAAGCCAAAAAAGTCAGCGACATCACAATATAACTTTCAGGGAAAATCAAAACCTACGGCAGTGTTAGAGGACACAGAAAACGAAGAAGTATACAAAAGAGAATGTGAACAGTTCATCTCCAACCCCCTTTCTTGCAGGTAATAATTTACAATTCACTCCCAATCTTAACATTAAATTGAGAAATTGGGACCTAGAAATTTTACTGTTTCTCATTCAAATAGTCCGGCCCAGAAACAATATCTTATCATCTCTTTAAGATATAACCGCTTAGTTATAGTTACCAGGGTGACTAATCTAGAACAACAACAAGTAGATAATCTGCTCTTTTACAACAACAAGTGTATGATCCTCTCTTTTACGACAGGTCTATGATGTATTATGTGGACGTGTACGACCCTACCCAAGAGTACGATTGTCCTTCTCAGGGTTATGTCGGTGTCCTGGAAACCTCTCCCAGATTACTAGCTGTTCAAGAGGGTATAATAATTCCAGCACTACTATATAACAAATAATTTGAGCCTGAAGATGGCGTTGACGCCGAAAATTTGCCTACATTCCTAACTTCCTGTTTCATTTGTCCTTGCCTCTTCCAACCGGATATTATCCAACTATCAGTATTTCAATCATGAGATTTATAAACAGCGAGCTACTCCATCATTTGATATTCAAGAGGGTACCTGAGTTGATAAGATTTGATTGGAAATTAAGTTGACGCGCACATTTTATCTCCGTGTTACACCTCAATTTTGGAGCAATTTAAAATTATTGCGACTGTGTAGTTTGAACTGATTTGTATCTCAGGAGAAAAGTTCAAAGAGCGGCTGATGTCGCACATCTGCAACGACGGATCCCTCTTTGAGACCTGCCTCTCTCTCCCCCGTCTGTGGAGACACAACTTCTACAACAGTACAGCTGGTTCCGACGGTGTACTGGACAGGGCTCCCTCGGTAATCGTGCTTCCGCTTGATTTCGGGCTGGCGGGGGGTGTGGTGAAGTCCAAGCAGACTGATCGTTTACGGTACCTGGAGGGACGGTACATGAAGTATTTTGGGGGAGTCAGTCCTGTAACGTTGAACATGAAGAATCCTGTTTACAGTACTTGAGCGCCGCTTGTTTTGTATTAAGTGAGATAGTTTTTGAAATATTTGTATGTTGAAAAGTTCACAAAGAATTATGTGGATGTATTGTGTTTTTCCGCACGGGTGTGATATATTTGGTATGAGAGGGTCGATATATTTGTGTGACTGATGGGACAGTCACGTGATGGTTTTTTATATCTTCTAGTTCTAATATCATTTGAAAACTCGGTCATGAGATTTCTACGTTGATAAACATATCAAAGAAAATATACATATTATATGATTTGTTGCTATTTGAGTAGGTGTAATGTGTATGAAATTTAATAGTGTTTATAATTGTTACACAGAACATAAGGCTATATTTATAATTAAATCTGATTTGTTCATTTTCAAAATATGACCATAATATTTGATCAAAAAGCTTTATAAATTACAATCCGATCATGTTCACTAATACTCTAATATAAGTTAATTTATAAGCAATGGGGTCCCGAATTAAAAGTGGAAACATTTTCTTTTTAAGCGAACATTATATTTATAGTGATGAAACCGAATAATGACATAATTTGCAGGCATTGTCAGAACTTAGTAAGTGTAAAAGTAGATGTAGCCAAATTTGTATTTGAATTGTAATTGTGTAATAACGTTTCTTAATATAATTTGATTTACACATGAAAGTTCCCCCCTAAGAATTCTATCATTAACAATTTAATTCAGATAATTCATTATCATTACATAAATTAAATGGCGTAGGAAATTTACCAGACGGAAGTGTTAATTAGCAAATGATATGCAACAACTTACCTAACAAATTAAAATCAAAACGAAAATTGAATTAATTTCCTCACGTACACATTCCAGAGAGTAAATTTAAATTGCTCCATTATAATGCGTAACTATAGTTACGCACTAAAATGACACCCAATGACAGAGCAGTAGATATGTCACGTGCTAGCTGTCAGTGCAACTGTGTGTGCCGCTATTGTTGAACAATTTGCTTTTCTGTCAGAGTTGAAGGATGCTGCATTCGGAGGAAACTCAAGGGATAGACTTAGAGGCGGGCACGGTCTTTCTTTTCGTCTTTAATTAATGGAATTGCTAATTTTAAAGTAACACAAGTAACACATTTTGATTTGCAAAGTTGCAAAGTTGCTGTTTTGTGTATTTAAAAATATATGGTCCGCGATCAGCTGACTGCAGTTGCAGAACTCCGCAATTCAGAACTTAAGAATGGGTATTGAAGCCTAATTATTTGTAACTTATAAGCCATGTTTAAAAATATATCAATCATTTAGTGAAACAGTTTAATGCTGAAGTTGAACTTAACAATTTTTAGTTTTAAAAAGATCAGTTAACAGGAAAGTATAAGGCTATAAAATAGTTATAAAAATAATCGTAGTTTGTTCTTCAGCATCTTTTGAGGACATCAGAGTGGAAGGACTTGAGATTTTCTTGGCAATATTGCTCATTTTCCTTGGGATAAGCGCATCTTTTGGGAACCTAATCTCGTTATACATATTTGGGAGTATGGGTAACCGCCGCAATGGTGGTTACATTACTAGGTTTGTTTAATCCTTTGTTTATAATAATTCTAACTTTTCAACTTTTCATATTTTTAACTTCGGACGGCCCTAATTCAAACAATTTGCTATTAGGGCTATTTCCTACAGTTTGAAATAGGGCCGATAAAATAGTTACATTTTATTTCAGGTTGGTGTTTCTGAATCTAGCCGTGACAGATCTTATCAACGGATTTGTTTGCATTCCTTTCACCATCTATCTCATCTCAAGGGTAATACCAGTATCATACTTTCATCAATAATTATAAATACCTTTAACGTTTCATTACGAATCTAATGTATTTAGTATAGGAGATCTTGTAGTACTATTCTGTCTTGATGATGCGAGTCTTTAAATTAATAAAAAACTAGCGAGTCCGTTTAAGTTTATTAAACTCAATTATCATAACATCCGCAGGGCCGTCAGTTTTCGATGGAAAAAGAGGGAACCACCTTAAATGAAATCTGCTGCACAGTGGTCGGAATCCTTTTCAACGTAGTCTCCAGAACGTCTATACTCCTTGTAACGGCGATGAGTCTGGACAGATTTGTGGGGCTGTTTTACCCAGCATTCTACAAGAGAAACTTAAAGCGGGCTGTTGTTCTGGTACGGGATCATGAGATTGTGATCAGCGTTGATGCTTGAGATGAGGATACATATTTTTCAATTTTAATCTTTCGATGTACAATGGGCCTGCTTTTAATGTAAAGTGCCACAAATTCTAAAATTATACGATCCCTCAACTTCATTGCCATAATAATATGTACTACACAAATACGTAAAACATCCGAAACCAGATGGTGCCTCTGGAGTCACAGTTTTCTTGTCAGATACGAGTATACGTAGTGACCAGCTGGATAACGAGTGTTTTGCTATCTGTCCTTCCTTTACTCTACGGTCAAATGTACATCTACATAAAGGTAGGAACATTCGTTTCGTTGAATAGTATACACATTAAGAAAAGTACACATTAGTACATGGAATTTGGCCTGCACTTATTGAATATTGTGGCAATTATTGTGGCACCGGTCTCCTCTTATAGTAATCTGGTAGTGCTGGTCTATTACTTTTAAACTTGAGAGTTGAGATGCCCCATATCACGGAATTTAAAAGAAATAAAAGTTCTGTGTTGGCGTAAATATTAAATATCAAATAACGGAGTAGTTCGCTGTTTATTAGTCTCATGATTGAAATACTGATATATGGATATTATCCGGTTGGAAGAGACAAGGACAAGTGAAACAAGGAGGTTAGGAGTGAGGGCAAATTTTCGGCGTCAACGCCATCACTCCTAACCTCCTTGTTTCACTTGTCCTTGTCTCTTCCAACCGGATAATATCCAGATATCAGTAAATACCTATTAAATAATGTAGAGTTTTAAAATTAAAAATGCATATTCTAAGTTTTCAATTGAAATAAGATAAAAACAGATTATTATTAAAATAAAATTACTCACAACATGGTGCATTAATTATTATAGTTAAGATTTTAAGATTTTAATAATTTCACGTATTTTATTTTTCAGAGGCAACTGAGATGTTCCTACGCTATCAACAGACTCCACCACACAATGACAGAGAAGTTGTCCGTGTTTATTACCGTTCAGATGCTGCCAACCTACATTCCTTTTGTTGTCATGGTTACGACTAGTCTAGCGGTGTATGTTCAGATCAGACGCAGTATTGATGTGTAAGTAGCAGTATTGATGTGTAAGTAGCAGTATTGATGTGTTAGTAGCAGTATTGATGTGTAAGTAGCAGTATTGATGTGTTAGTAGCAATATTGACGTGTAAGTAACAGTACTGCTGCAGTATACTGATGTGTAAGTAGCAGTCAAGTTATGATATACAATACATGTATAGTAGCAAGAGGGTAGGTGGTAGATAAGATCGTAGTCATGTAGAATGTATATTGTAGATTGTAGAGTACAGTTTAGGGGGTAGTGTAATTCACTAGTGTACGGAGGGTGCTGGCATGTTTTCATGCAAATTAGTAACAATTATAATTATTTTTAACGGTTTACATACTGTTTATAATACTGACCAAATTTACAAATTTACAAAAAACTTAAGTATTAAAAGATCTTCGTTAAAATCGACCTTCTCCGTTTTAATGTTGAATGGTCATACCCGAGAATGACAGATAGTCTGTGAGAAATCCAGCAATGAAAGGTCCACCGAAATAGAAAGCACAATAACCCATCAGCCAGATACTAGTTACTTTTGTCACTACCTCTGGTGTAGGCGGCGGGGCGGCGGACGGACAACTAGGAACCTGTCAATTTTACCTAGTTAACTAATTAACTGCAAGCTTGGGAAATCCAATCAGCTCCGACAACTAGGAACTAATCATTACATATCCCCGACAACTAGGAACCTCTGGAGATACTTTAAACATTCAGGTGTCCACTGATTTCACAGCTGTGCTGTATATATTTCTGCACTAATTAAGACAAAGATCCGAGTATTTGGAACAGATATGGAACAACTGGTCATTGGAAGTTTTCCTTTTAATCCTTTTCTTAGAAGGAGTTTCTCCAACACCCAGTTGATCGATAATCGATATGGTAATCAGTGATTACCTGCTGCTCCCGCGAAAAGCACGGAAGTACTCTTGCGATGAATTTGGAGAAAGCAGGCATGTTGAATTGAAACCGATACTCTTTTATGTTCACGTTTCAGTATATACCTATACCAGAAGTGCGGTTGTATATTAACAGCTGATCAACTCTCGTACTTGTGATTGTATGTCTCGTATCACTCCCATTGCATGCTCGGCTCACATCCTTGGATACGAGAGGTTCCTAGTTGTCGGTCACCGGTTATGATACCCTAAGGCATGGCGCATGGCATGAAGACATAGTTTAACCTGAGGGCCTGGGTTAGAACGGGGACTTTCTGCTGTTATCCATGAAACCGAATACAGTTTACCGCGGACTTTGGGGAAAGGAAACAGCCTCGATAAATGGGGGTTTGCGGTAAATCGGGGCGCAGTAAATCGGGGTTTTACTGTATTTTATTATCTTTAGGTTCAACTCCTACAAACTGTGCACAAATAAAAAGTTGTATCTAGTACGATTAAATATTTTAAATTTAGCCAGTTTGTCAATTGTCATCGGTATTGAAAAATTGAAACATCGGCGATAACAATAATGGAAGTTATGACACCGCAATAGATTTGACGTACAGATTCATAACCAAATCACCTCCACTACTACTACTACTACTACTACTACTACTACTATATACACTACTACTACTACTACTACTATATACACTACTACTACTACTACTACTATATACACTACTACTACTACTACTACTATATACACTACTACTACTACTACTACTATATACACTACTACTACTACTACTACTATATACACTACTACTACTACTACTACTACTACTACTACTATATACACTACTACTACTACTACTACTATATACACTACTACTACTACTACTACTATATACACTACTACTACTACTACTACTACTACTACTACTATATACACTACTACTACTACTACTACTATATACACTACTACTACTACTACTACTATATACACTACTACTACTACTACTACTATATACACTACTACTACTACTACTACTATATACACTACTACTACTACTACTACTATATACACTACTACTACTACTACTACTATATACACTACTACTACTACTACTACTATATACACTACTACTACTACTACTACTACTACTACTACTATATACACTACTACTACTACTACTACTATATACACTACTACTACTACTACTACTACTATATACACTACTACTACTACTACTACTACTACTACTACTATATACACTACTACTACTACTACTACTATATACACTACTACTACTACTACTACTACTACTACTACTACTATATACACTACTACTACTACTACTACTACTACTACTACTACTATATACACTACTACTACTACTACCACTATATACACTACTACTACTACTACTACTACTACTACTACTACTATATACACTACTACTACTACTATATATACACTACTACTACTACTACTACTACTACTACTACTACTATATACACTACTACTACTACTACTACTACTACTACTACTATATACACTAC